CTTAGTATCTTTTGGGACTTGTGCCAAATTCTTTAGCTATGGTTCCAGTGGAAAAGAGGTCTGTTTACTCTGTTTTGTTTGGGTTGCCCCTTTCAGCCCTGAACAAATGTGCTCTAATGGCTGTTTTGAATGTAAAAGTCAGCAGGAGCATTTGTCTTCATGTCTGCCACAAAACTTGCTAAATTATCTGGATCTCTCAGAGTCAATACAAATTAAAAACACGCAAAAGGTTTGGAAGAGAGCGATTGCTATTCTAGCAAGTTCATTAGCCTTCTGAGGAATGCTCTTGGCAGGCTTTGTTTAGCACAAGTCCAAACCAAAGTAAACAAAAAATGTCAGAAAATGAATTGCAAATCACTTGGCAATATAAATGTGAGGACTAGGATGCGGATGATGAATAATTTGGGAAAATGTATATTATTCCTCCAGGAATCCTAACTGCAACAAAGGGGAACTATACCAATGATTGCAGCAGAGAAAGAGGAATAACTTGATGAAGTGAATATGGGCTACCCAGCTTTTCCAAATGAACTGGCAAAACCAGACTCCAGACACTATTTAGTTTGTGGAAAAAAAAAAAAAGAGTTCTGCAGTGAGGCTCTTATTTTTTTTTTTTCAACTCCCTGTACATATCTCCTTAATGCTTTCAATCTATACCCTGTAAAAAGTGGTGCTAAAGAAGAATGTTGCACTCTAATTTTGTGAGACTAAGCTGAAGACCAAAAATGAGGTTTAAAGGAGGAAATCAGTCTCTTAAACTATGTAAGTGGCAATTAGCTTGCACTTCCTTCCCTAGGAGAGGCAGGTTGGACAATTCAGGTACTTGCACGTGTGGTGACTTGGAGAATCCCTTGTGAGCTGCTGCTGAGGGAAAGGAAGAAGCTGCTCCACTCCAGTTTAATACAGGTTTTTTGACAAATTTTACATGCCACTGCTATTGTATTGTTCCCATTATTTGAAGATTCATAACAGAAACAGAGCAAAGCCTAAGTTTTAACTCCCATAGCAAAACATAGTGGTAAATCTAACAGGAAGGAGAGAAGATTGCAGATGACAGAGGCAAGGCTAATGTGCCAATGCCTTTTCTTCAGTCTTCGTGGGGAGGTTAAATGTGACAGAAGGTTTAACATGACCAGAATTAACAAGGGAACAGGAATGCAAGGGGAGAGTAGGGAAGAAACTGGGTATTTAGATTCAGAAAAGTCAGATTTAAGGCCTGTTTACAAGGTTAAATGAGTAGGCAATAAACTAGGATTTGAATTTATGGTGTGCTATCTACTGTGCATAACTCTCCATATGGAAAGTCTTAGTATATAAGAGGGTCTTTACATGAAGCAGCTTTTCCAGGTCAACAGGGCCTCAAAGGGTTTATCCCAGCATATTTAAAGAGGCAGTTTCTAAACCACAGGGATTTGCTTTGAGAACTCCTGAAGAATATAAATAGTCCCAATAAACATGGTACATTTCTTTAAATGGGGGGGGGAAGGAAAGGGGAAAGCAAGGGAATGACAGCCAATAATTCAAACGAGCTGGTATCTGGAAAGATACTAACACAAGTATTAAACAATCAATTTATAAGCCCCTTAAGGCTAATAAGGGAAGCAGCTACCCTATCCACCAAGAGCAGATATGTTTTTCACTTTAGGGAGACTTCTTGATATGACTCAGTCATGCCAGTAAGTACAATTCAGATGAAATAAGGAGGAAGGCCTGTCTGAGAAATACTATCAAGGAAAAATTTTATCAGTAGTCTGTAGGCCCTAAAATGTCTGGTATTTGCTACTTCCATTAATGCCTTAGACAATGAGATGTCACATTTTTGAACAATGTCACACTTTGGATGCAGTGCAAGCGGGCTTAGAATTGAAAATCTTTTTCATAAATAGGTGAGACAGCTTGAAATCCATAGGATAAAATTAAGGCAATAAAGATGTTGCTTACAGAGGAAAAGTCAACTGCACAAATGGGAAGTAAGTGAGAAGGTTTCAGTCTTGTGGAAAAGACTAAGCAGGTTGCAGCGCTGTCACAGAAGAATGTAAATCTCTTGATGTCAAGGTGTTAGTCAGATTGGGGAGCCACACGGGGAGGTGGCTGCTGGGCACTAGCCCATGCTGGAGCTCAGCTACAGCACCTCAGGAAGGATATGGAGAGACTGGAGAGCATTTAGACAAGAGCAACAGAAAAAGTTTCAAACTTGGCTGGGTTAGCTTAGGAAATTGGGAGAAAATCGGGCAACAGAGACTCTAATTGTCTTCAAACATGTAAATGTTGTCACTGAAAGAACTGCAATAACTTTTCTCTGTTTCTGCCCAAGAAGGTTGCCCCAAGGAGTATCAGTTTTACTTGCAACAGATTGGGTATGTGTTCAATGCTAGGAAAAACAAAACTGCACTCTAATAATGTAGTTAAATACTGGAACAACTGCTTAAGTAAATTGTGAGATTTCCATGACTGATAGGTTTGGAGAACAAGCTGATTAATGGCTGTTCAGATTGTTTGCTTATACTTGATCTAGTCTGATAAATTAACTCTTGCAGGCCTATCATCCCAACTTTTCTACAATAATATGGGTATGAAATTCTATGTTTACAATTTCCTGTAATCCGTGCTAGTAAATGGGCTTTGTATGTTAATATCTGTCATAATTCTGATTTTTTGGAAGTGGAACACATTTGCTTTCACATAATATAAGCTGTGTGATTTAGGCTAGACACCATTAAATCTATCATTTTGATTACTAACTTTGATTTCAGCTTTCAGAAAGGCTCATGGATGGAAAGAAACCTGTTAACTCCCTTTTATTCAGAACATTTCTTTCTTCACATCAAAGCAATGCCATACAGCCTATCAGTATTTCTACAGAATAAGCCCTGAAATTGAAGAGTGCTTCAAACAGTCTTAAAAATGTGAGATGAATCATCAGTAGAGAGACCCATGTGTTTAGATGTATCACCAATGCCTTGGCATTTTGGACATACATAATATGCAAAGTCTTTTTCTACTTTCTTTTTCTTTCAGAACTGATGTACTGTGTAATAGTTTATTCATGTGAAAAAGGAAGCCTTTTTTTTTTTTATTTAATATTTTCTGTTAAGTGCAACAAATTTCCAGTTCATTTGTGAAATGACAAATACCATACTTCACATTTTCACAACTAGAATAATGCTCTAAAGCAATTCTGGTAATCTTGGTCTGCAATATCAAAAAGGGCAACTTTTGACCTGTGAAGAAAATGTCTCCTGGATATAGACACCTGCAGAAAATAACTACAGTTTATCTTGGCATATTCCTGCTTCCATTTGGACTTCTGTTAATTAAGAAAATGTGCACCATATTTTCCTAGGCTACAGCCAACCTGTTTACTAGATTTTTTTTTTTTTTAGATATAGAAAATTACAACACTTACTCATCTGTATCAGTTACATTTCAGTTTTGATGTAGGAGCTGTAAATTAGTATGAGAATGTACTTGTTAAGAAAATCTGAACAGAACTTTCATTCTAATATAAAAATGTAGTTATAATTAACAGACTATCTGAATAGATTTTCATGGTTTCTCTTAATGCATTATGTAATTGAAATATGTGTTGATTTTTGCCCCTAGCCTTTCAGTATAGATAAATGACAAGGCAACCTGCCTTTCTGCAAGTTGGAGATTGGGCCAGTCAGGACATCTGGGTGGAAGAGTGTTCAAATTATGGGAAATTACCATGGCTTAAAAATGTGGCCCTTAACTATAGTAAACATGTAAAACGTTTCATGTGTTTGACTCTGGAAGGGAGAAGACTCTCTGAAAGAGTACTCAGAAGGGGAAATTCAAGTTGATATATACAGTGTTTAGGCACAGCAGGCAAGATGGAAAGAGAGGTTTTGTCTTAGTGCTGATGCAGGGGAGAAACTGGGCCCAAAGTCATACAGTGATGTGATGGTCAGGTCAAGCCCAGCTGTTGGATGTACTAGATAACCCTGCAAACATTTTAGTAGCTGTTATGTGGCTTAGAGGGGTTTTACTGAATGCTTCTCAAATTCACACAAAAAAAATGTTTGCATGAACTGGACTTCAGTTTGCTTTAGTCAATGCTAGGAAGAAAGCAATCATTCTTTCTTCATAAGGCAACAGGAAAAGGTACCATAGCAAGAAGATACAGAGCAGGAAAGGTGCCACTGGTTTGGGATGGCATTCACCTTGTAAGTGCACAGAAGACTTAATCCCTTCAGCTCTGGTGGAGCTTGGGCAGGAACACGTGGCTGGTAGTGGAGTACAAGTGTAAGCGGTACTGGGAGAGTTCATCTTGGAAAACAGCCTCTGACAAAGACCCCTGGGGGAGAGAAGCGGATCCTTCTCTGACCAGGAAAGTTGTTTAGGTGCTTTGCCACTTTTGGATAGGTTTATAATGGTGTTTAATGTATAGCTTGAGGTCAAGCCCAGCAAAATGAAGTGGACTGTCTGTGTGGAAATGGGGAACTGGAATGGAGAAGGATTGAATAAGGGTAATTTCTGCTCTCAGACCTCCTGGGTACATGGCTTGTGATTTCAGATTGCGGAGAAGAGGCAAAGTTAGGATGCCAGGATGGTGAAAAGCAAGCAGAGTGATGTCTGGTGAGGAGGAGTAGTTTGCCCTCACAATTCAGAAAAGCTTCCAGGCTTGGACTAGACTACAACTAGCTATTTTTGTCCAGGGTTTGCTGTGTGGATGATTGGCAGCTTTGGACAGGAGCACTGTATTAAGGATGACCCTAACTACCAGAACAGACACAGCTTTTCTGGGTTTTATGTTTGAAGTATTAAACATTCCTGAAGGGAAAATTTTTATAGAAGTTGGATGCAGGGTTATTTTGGCAGCTTAGCAGTCATTAAACTTCCTTTAAACTATTTTGTAACCTTATTTACACCTTTCATGAGGTTAACAAGACTTTAATACATTTTCCTGTAGACTATTTCAGTTCCTTTTGGTTATTTTTGTTCCTCCTACCATAAGACTCAGTGGGTTTGGACCTTACCTTCTTTTCACATGCTGACCCAGTATAGCCATTTCTGCAAGCACAGACATTTGGTCTTATGCATCTGCTTCCAAATAGACATTTTTGCTCACAGAGTGCTACAAATGAAAGATAAAGTTGTTTAGAAATACTTATTCTAACTCTTGTATGACAGTTATGTTGATAATTATCTTTATTTTTTTTTCTCTTCTCCCCAGTGGTGGGGAAAGAGAAGACTGTGCTGTAGGAATTGCCTCAGCTCAGTCAGAAATGTATCAGTTCAAGGCCTAATTTTGAAAGCCAGAATACATTTTGGGCATTGATGGTTGAGTTAGATTTGTGCCAAAATTGATTTTCTTTTGTTCTAATTGAAATATAATAACAGCTGTTAAAAGTGCCATTCTTGGGTTGAGATGAAAAGTTATGTTAAGTATGTAATCCCAAAGGTGATGCTATCACAATAAATAAAAGATAATTTGGTGAATTCTTTCTGGAAACCAGGGCATAAGAACATGTAATTTCATGGACTCACAGAATTACTGATGAGCTACTTACTCCAAATAAAAAGGAATCAGAAAAACTTTTTAATCTTAGAGTACCAATGTACTTAAAGAGGCCGATCTATCTGAAGATATTCTGTTAAGAGAAGAATCAGTGTTCTTCCTTTTTTTTTTTTTTTAAGAAAGAAAAAAGCTCATCAATGGAATTAGTCAAATTTCAGTTTTTCATCCTCATTAGCATTTTATATTGTTTATGACATTGTTTTGGCATAGAGGAGAGAGAACAGCCAATTCATAGGGCACCAATTCAAGAAGAACACACATGTCATAGTATTTTAATTAGATCTCATGAGTTAAGCCTCCTATAAATATTGCCAGAATATTGTTTCCTAGCTACAGGCAGTCAAAGTAAATGCCTTCAAAACTGATCAGATATGTAACAACAAGTGGCTTTTTACATTTTCTTGTGTGGCAGAGACATATAGGAGGCTGCAAACCATGCACCATTAAAGACAGAACTGAAAATAAAGGAGGTGCATGTCTATAATCCATGCCATCTACTTCATCATGGAGCAAAATGTTCCATCAGATTTGGAAGAGTTAAATCATTCCCTATGAGGTTGTGGGTGGGTGGTTGGTTGGTTTTGTTTTGGTTTTTTTTTTCTCACAGAAAATCAGCTTCAAGAACTTGTGGGACTGAAGGAACAAATTCTAGACTTTGTTTGTTAGACTTAGGTTCTAATTTTGACACAGCTTTAAGCTCAAGCCATTTCTTTGTGTTATGATCCAGAGTCTCAGAGATAGACCAGGACAGTGAAATTTCATTAGAAAAGTCACAGTGAGACCTTAAGCCATGCAAATGTGATTCTCAGAGTTATGCTAATTGTTACAGTGACCTCGGAAGGCCAGCAGCAAGCTGTTTAACAACATCTGGAATTGGCATTGGCTTTGTTCCATCAGGTTGTCATGGCAGCTAACACTCAGTGAGGAGGCTGAGATTTTGCCAGAGAGGGGAATATTAAAATCTAACTGTGTGTACAGAACTTCAGGCCCGACAGCTGTGGGACAGAGGAGCAAAGAGGGGGACTCATTGCCACTTTACACAGCTTAAAAAGGAAGAGGTTGTAAACAGCCAGGCAACTGCTACTCTTCTGGGTGCAGTGAGAGTTCATGCTCTGTCAAAACTACTGACCTGTATGTGTCCAGAACAAGAACACGACATGCTGGTGACCTGCAGAGCTGTGTCATGTGGCTTTCTGCTTTAGGACTCCAGTCACCTTGCGCTAGCCACTTGCCCTCCTAGCATATGAGCTAGCCAGTATATTTCGGCTCTTTAGAAAAGCTAAAAGTGCTGTATAGTTGAAATAAGATTTTAAGAAGCAAATTTGGTTTTGTTTGGAGACATTTGTAAAGCATTCCTGAAGACCGAGCTGCAAACTTCTGGGAGGGGGTGGCCCAGGTTTGAATCCTGGGTGTGGATGGGGCAGAGGAGGAATGAAATCGTGCTGAGGCTAGAACAGTGTGTTCATCATCTGCCAAATGCTACTTCAGCTCCTCCACGAGCTTTGAAAGAACTCAAATTTATAACTGGAAAAAATCATAGAGTTTCATTCACTGGAAGAAGATTGTTTCCCAATAGGGAGTGTATCGTTATCAGAAGGGGCTCCTTGTGCCCTCACCAGTTTTGTTCCGCTGTACAGTAAGCTAGAAGAGAGAGAACTGTGCATGATAGTAACATTGATTCATTTGATATGAACTTGCACTGGGAAAAATAGAAGTTGACTCTTCTTTCACCTTGACAGTGAATAAAAGAGGAACAGGTAAGGCAAAGAGAGGTGAACTCTCCTGGAGTCCCCTGCAGCAGCATATGCGTGGGCAGAACAGGCGTTAGAGAAGTCACCAGGCTTTTTCCTGTCTGGTTTTTTTTTTTTTTATTCTCTGTTGATGCAAATAAAGGAAAAAAAAAAGGAAGAAGATTTCTTCCTTTTTTATCCTTTTCTACCTGCCTGTCTCTCCCTTTCCACCCACTGCTTCCTGCTGTAGTGCTCAGAAAAACAAGAGCTCAGTTAAGAGAAAAGTTAAAAAAATTTTGGAAGAAAATTGGACTTGAAATCGCAGAGGATAATAACATAGCTGAAGTTCAAATGAATATTTCATAAATGTATTTACAAGGGATGTTAAGCCACTAAACACTAAAAATGACACAAGGCTGTGTATGTATTATCCTGTACAGATTCAGCAAAGACATTTAATAAGCTGAGCTTATGTTAAAATTATAATCAATAAATGCCCATTACAGCAAGAAATTTATCTCTGGGCGTTAAAAGAACAGAGCTATAATTTGCATGCAAACTACATTCTTTTTAAAGATTTTTCTTTTTTTTTTTTAAGGTTTGAAAGGGTTACATAGAAAAGCTAGAAGGAAGCCTGTCTGAGATGTTGTTCAAGGGAGAGAGAGAATGAGGAAGAATGTTGAGGAAATTATAAGGCTATAAACTTGACACTTATAACATGCAAATAAAGAGAAGATATTCTGAAGGGCAATGAGGAGCCAGTATGGGTGCAATAATATTAGAACAGGAGATAGAGGCATGAATTTTAATGATGAAGATTATTCACGACTATAACCCCTTTATAATTAATTATTAGAATTATACCTCCATCCTGCATTCGTAGCCTTAAACAACAAGGCTTGTATCCCTGTCCAGAAGCCTTCTGACTTTCCTGGGTTATGTTTTGGCTATATCTCTCAGGGTAATCAGATTGCACTCTCAGGTCTTTGTTTCTTTGGTCTAATATTTCTTTTCTAGCTCAAGAAGAAGAAGGATGTGAATTAACACTGCAGGAGGCTGGGGGAAGCCATCAGCATGGAACTTTAGACTAGATATCTAATATGGAATGGGAAGGAAATCACTGATGAAAATCAGTGATCCTGGGATACTGTTTTTGTGTTTTCAGAGGGAATATTTGGAATGTTTGTGCTGCTGTCATGAAACCTAAAAGCAGGGTCAGACAAATTCTGTTTTAAAGGAGGGAGTCTCATCTGTGAAGCTGTTTGTTTCTGTAGTTGAGATGCTGAATATTTCAAATGACATTTTTTAACGTGTCC